GAATCACGTGAAATTGACATTGACATTGATTGACATCGGACCCGGTCCGGTCGTCTGAATATGCGAAGTCATTGCAATGAAGAACCAACTCAAAAGAAAGGCGTACGAGTGGGATTCAGAGACAGAACTGGGTTCGTGCTTCAAGAGGATTGAGTGTAATGCAATTTGAAATTGGCACCAGAGAACAGGTGGGTCAGAAGGAAATGGCGGGGAAAAAAAGAGGTTAAATTAATATTGGTATGAGAAATAAAGGATAACGAGAAGGGCCGTGTGGAGGAGTGGAGGTGGGGGACGGGTATGGGATCGGGATTGATCGGGTGGAGCTCAGGGGGCGGGAGCAATGGGAATCGGAATTGACCGGGAAGGAACCAGGAGGGTCCAAGCAAACATGAACAACCTGAGAGTCAGATCCCGGCAACAATCGGAAGAGTACTATCGGAGCTGCGGAAGGAACGGAAGACCCGGGTGTGCTCGGGACAATAAACAGACAAGTGAACAGTTCAGGATATCCCAGTATAGCGCTGCGATCTGATGGGATGCTTGATGCTAACATTTATTTATAGAAGAAGCAAACTGCTAATCTCCCATCAGAGCCATCAAGGCATATGCCCGGATACGCTGTTTTTACGCTATTAATTAATTATTATAATCCATGAAAGCAGTTTTTTGTTCCCAAAACAGAATATGCATCAATCCACAGGCACATTGCAATGTACCTATGGCTTACTGGACAGCAACCACTGGCCACATTGCAACATGACGTACAGTTATCACTGGCCACATTGCATTAAAGTTAACACTATTACTCACCTAGAACATATCCTGGTAGGGTGTCAAAGTCCAGAACGACAAATTGTATGGGAAGCCGCCAAGTCCTTATGGATCAAGAAGGAAAAGAACTGGCCGACAGTATCACTAGGAACAATATTAGGCTGCGGCCTAGCAGATTTCCGAGACGAGAAGGGGAAACCAAAACGTGGCACACAACGGCTTTATCAGATCCTGGTGTCCGAATCCGCGTATCTAATCTGGAAGCTAAGAAATGACCGGGTCATCTCCCGGGATGGAGAACTGGCTAGCGAAGAGGAAATAAAAAACAAATGGAAATATGCGATAAATCTACGATTACAGGTGGATATAACATTGGCGAATAGGCCCGTGACAGGCAAGCGACCCGCAATGGCGCCCCAACTAGTCCTCGCGACTTGGTCCGACACATTGGACGATGAACAGAGCTTACCGGCCAATTGGTTACGGGAGCCCAGAGTTTTAGTGGGTAGCCGTGCATTCCCCCGAACCCTGACCCGGCGACACAACAGCCGAGGCATCGGATAGCACTGTAGTCCCACACTGCCCTCGGGCGTGCGTAAAGCATCTCTCTGGGTGGTGGAAACCACTCCCTTGGAACAAAACATTCTAACCTTTACAAACCGGATGGGCTAACCTATTGTTAGTTGCTACCGGCCTATGTACCACCAAAAAAAAAAAAAAAAAAAAAAAAAAAAAGGATCCCCTGCACCTTCACGTAGTCGGGCACCACCATGTCCTTGATTGTTGGCTTCAGGTGCTCACTGCGGGCTGTACAAAAACACAAAGTCAGCACCAGCACTATGTAGGGCGAGGAGGGGGCAGGTGGCGGCACTGCACTTACTAGCTTCAATCTGCGCAGATGTGCTGGAGACCATGTTGCGGAGCTGGTACGCTGAAACAGCGTAACATAAATGTGCAGCATCTAGTGCTAATTTTGTGATTCCTATGACCAGTATTTATACAACAGGAAGCAGCTAGCACTTCTGTTGTTACTAGCAAACTAGCTAGTACACAGACCACTTGTTAGGTGATATAAAGGAGAGTCAGAGGCTAGTCAATTGTATAAATCACCAGGGATTAAACCAATGCCTAAACATTCATTGAGACGTGACCTAGGAGACTCTAGTAGTTGAGAGATGATGTGCCAGGGAGCTAGCAATAGTCTAGTGGACTGGAATCAATGATGGATGTATAGCTAGGAGATAGTGTTTTGAGTTAGTTCACTTAGCACAGGTTTAGGCTAGATAAGGGCCAAAGGCGGTGCTAGGCAGAGAGATCCAGCTAGGACCATGAATATGCAATGCTATGGACACGTTGTGATAAGGACCGCGGTGTCGGTATCGAAAGATATGTGATTCCAATTTGACTACGTTCATCCTCTAGAGCGGAAGGTACAGTCGAATGATAGAGCGGAAGGTCAGCACACGAATCGGCCTTGTATGAGCGATGGGTGTGTGTGTGTGTGTGAACAGTGGTTTGTGGAGACCGTTCGTCTCCTAGGTGTGGACATGTGCAGCGGACCTGTTGTTAGTGAAAATGGTAAAGAAGGTGTGAATGCCTAAACCTGGTTCCCCATATGAGAGTACTGGAACCCTAAATGCATTGCCCTGTCTGCTTTTCCTTCGTGCGCTCTTCCCCTTAGAACCAGCGCTGGAGATGCGATGTGTGTCGCACAGACGATGACACCGACATTGTTCGGTCAACAGTGAGACGGTCAGTCTCGTTGGCTATGGACGGCAATTTGTATGTGATGGCTTCTCTCCGGGCCTGTTTTCTACAGAGCGAGGCTCGCGAGAACGGTGATCCTAATCGAGGAAGCCTGGGATGGTGACACCGGGTCCAGTGAGGAGGGACCCTGCTGATGGAGGTGTGAGAGGTGAGACACCAATGAACGAGCAAATGTAAGATGTGTGGCCTGCCTCGGCAGTGGGCGAGGAGGAGGGTGCACGAGAGGTACGAGGTCGGGGAAGGCTGGGAGTACCCCTTAGATTGAGCTGAGAACGGTACAGAACGTGGGGAAAAACACCCCAAAAGCTACTTCTGCAGGCCGGAAGGTACTGACTACTCCTACTAAATGTGCTCCCTTTTATACCTCCTCGACGACTTCCCACGTTTCCAGAGGTGCCATGCGGGTCGCAGGTGTTTCCAGGGGGGGGACGTCATGAGGTGTTTCGGGGTGCATATATGGCAGGAGAACGGACGCCTCTGCTGAGGAGACCGATCGTCTCTGGGTGCGCGCGAGGCGCGGTGAGGCCAAACGACCTCGGAATACGTCTGGAGCTCCAGGCACGGCTGGTAGTTGCGTTGGCGGGTGCTCGAGTGCTCAGGAAGGGGGAGAGACAGATGGTCTCCTCTCGGCTAGTTGATGCATCATGTGAAGTGGGGGACAGGCTGTGTCGGGATATCCTCTGCCTCGTCCAATGGGTCGGCGCCAGGCACGCAGTAGGTCCGTTTGGTGTGGGAGAGCGTCCAGGAACGGAAACGAGGGAAGGTCCCGGGACCGGTCGTATCCTGTTGGTGGACGCCGAGTAGCGACGAACACAGTGAGCGCTGGTTCGTTGGAGGTGTATGCAGAAGGTCGCGTCGTAGGAAAGCATCAAGAACCCGTGGATCTGGGTGACAATAGTGCAGGAGCGAGCTCTAATGGCGGAGGAGACAATGCGGATGGTGGGGAGAACGTTGGTCTCGTTCGGAAGCTGCTTCCGGTAACGTGGAATCCCGTTTAGGAAGATCTGTTGTGTACGTCCGAGCTCGTCCCATTACTCGTGCAGATGGTTCGTAGGGGCCATGAGGCGACGAGCGGTGCATAGCACACTCGGAGACCTCACAGCGTGCACTGCGGGTCGCCTGCTGATCACTTGGTTTTCCCACAGCCGGTGGCGAGCACTTGAAGACAACGATCAAGGGTGTGGTGGTGCCCGACTACGGAAAGGTGCAGGAGATCCTCATCGGTGTGGTGGCGGCATTTGTCATCTTTATCACGGTCATTGGGCCAGAGTGTGTCTTTCCCCCTCCTCCCTTATTCCGAGGCGACCATGCTAACTGATCACCTGCCCACAGGAACCACAGCTTGCACTTCGAGAAGTACCGCGCAGCGTTCGACGTGTGGATCAACGACGATGGTGTGCAACAGGAGACGGGGGCGCGCGGTGCACGATCGGGACGTGGAGGCAGCCGAGAACAAGAAGGCGAGCGAGGAGCAGTCGAGCACAGAGAAGCCCGCGGTCACACCTGCCTGGACGGTATTGACATAGAGTCCTGTGGCACGCTGGTTTTGTATTTCCTGTATATATACTGCATATACCGTATTTTTGCAATAAAATATTTTTCTACTATTTTCCCCATTGCTTTGTATGAATCCCAGGACAAACAGTAAACAACCGTGGATGCATCATGCGAGATTTCATCAAGGTCACCAGGATGGCAACGCCTGGCATCCTGTCGACACCCCGAGAAGGATGTCAGATGAGAGGGTATCAAATGACTATCTATTGACACAGATATTGCTCTTCATGCGATATCACTCGGATATTCCGGGAGATCCATCAGAAGCTCTCACGACATCAGTTCCGGGATGTCAATCCGAGATCCCTCCGAATTGGGGGTGTACAGGAAGCGTGAGGGGATGATTGTATGTCTGACTTATGAGTAGAACGTAGTCTGTAGTTAACCGCGCGATCGTGTATAGGTCGCACCGTTATTATATAATCGTCGGAGTTTGAAATTGTTCCCACAACCACTCACTGTTCTGGTAGCTCTATCCACAAACTTTGAGAGAGAAAGTCTCTCAAAACCTCACTTCCAATCGAACTACCTTCTCCATATCACAATTTATGAGCTCTCGACAAGCATTCAAGATATCGGCTTTTTCCGCCTGCCGGCCCATCAAATTTCGGCATTGCGCTTCTGCAACCTTCCACCCATCTTTTGGCGGAAGTCCTTACTCAAATTGTGTTTCCAAACACAGAAGCAGCCGTGAAAGAGCTAAAAACACGTCACTGCGCCCTTATCAATGCCGGGAATTTTTGTGATTGGTAATAGCGCCGCCAATGATCATTCGATCGAGGTTACTGACAGACTATAACAAACCGAGGTACGAGGTTAAAATGTTATAGCGTCTGTTTATAAGAGACTAAGTAGAACGTAAATCACCGCTAGATGAACGAAAAAAAGAGGTATACTCCATACATCGACCATGGTGGGACTCGAACCCACAGTCTCTGCCTACCATTGGAATCGGAAAGCAACGCAGTAACCATTTTGCCACACGGCCAGTAGAGGCTGGCTCGCATCCTGCGATCAATATCACAATGCACCAAAAAAACGAGCAAAAAATTGACTTTCTTTTCATAGTTTCTCCAAGAGGATCAAAATTTTCAGCTGCGTACATCCACGAAAATCCGGAACACTCCAGAGATGTCCAGCCGCATTTTGACGGCTTGCTAGGCTTAGAGAAGAGCTTGCCCGAGAACGCTGCAATTTGGCTCAATTTGGACTGTGCAGTAAATTATGAGACAGAATCGCCAGAGTGGCTGACTCCGAAGACAACACTTGGTTGGCCGGCCAAGTTCTCACACCGGGCCTGTCTCGCCGGCATGTACACTCGCTTTCGACCTCCACCCGATTTGTGATGACGGTACTTGCTGAACTTCCTACGGAACTGATCCTTCACATCGTTTCCTTTCTCACTCGGGAGAGAATCCTTGACTTGGGGAGGCGTCCGCCAGAACCGAAACTCGTTTCCGACTTGCCTTCCATTAACGCCCTTTCTCGGACGAACACTATTCTCTATCCGACTCTGAACCAGGCTCTTTACAAACTCTGTGCGAGTGTCCCCACGCTCGGTCTCCTTGCAATCCTTTTTTGCGTCGAACACGAGCTGGAAAGCGCGCTCGACAAACTCGTCGCGGACTCACGGCTGGGATCAGTGTCTATCAGTGTCAATTGACTCAACACCGAAGTCGAGATCAATTACGTGCGGTTTAGCCTTCTGCATATTGCAGCAAACAGGGGCCTTCGAGTTACAGTCGTTAAATGTACAGGGAGGAGATGGCGGCGAGGGTGCACGCACGCAGAGGCCGCCGGACGACCTTGGATTATGCGGCACGCCGGGGGGACATGGATATTGCCAGAATCCTCGCCCCCATATCCCAGCACCGTCCTGGACCTCAATGACGCTGTGGTCCCGGGACCAGATTCAGACTCGGACGAGCTCGAGACACGAGAACAGTACTTGGGTCGTGCCCTCCTTTCGGCGACTCAAGCCGGAAATCTGGAAGTCTCCCAATACCTCATTTCTGAAGGGGCAGAGATTGATTTCCTCGATAAACACTTTTTCGGCCCTACTCCGCTTTTCAATGCTGCAGAGGACAACAACCTTGAGCTTGTGCAGCTCCTGCTTACTTCTGGTGCTGACCCGAATCTTCACGCCAACTGTGAACGGGTTGCCATATTCGCTGCTACCAGCATAGACGTCGTCCAGACTCTAGTTGCCGCAGGGGCAAACATTCATGTGGAGGACAACGAGTCTCGCACCGTGCTTATGTTCGTCAGGGACGTCGAGTTGCTCCGGTTCCTCCTTGAACGCGGTGCAGGACCCGAATCACCAAGATGCTGTAGGACACACACCGCTTCACTTTGCTTGCCAGTGGAGAAATTCGAAGGCACAGATTGAGCTTCTTCTTCAGTTCGGCACGACGATCGAACTGAAAGCCAACGGGCACACCCCTGTGGAATTTGCCATGCGTAGGCCCAACTTGGAGGCTGTGAAGATTCTCGAGCCTTTAATCCAGGATCCTGATCTCAAGCGGGAGATTGCGAGGTGGTTAGGGGAAAGGGAACGACCGAAAAACGATTGATGCTATGGTGAGCGCGCGCGCGGTGGATCTCAAAAACATTTCTCGTACTTATTTGCACCGGTACAGAACTTGAAAATTTCGGTACACACTGTGTCTGATGAGGCAATGTAATGTATAGACGAAGCCCTCGCGCCCCCTCCCGCACACTGGCCTGGATGGAGAACACGGCCTGACCGCTCCTTCTCCAGGCGATTTTCTCAGCAATATGCGACCCGCGTTACCCGCACACCTCTACCCGCTCCGGACGCAGACGTCCTTCCGGATGTCGTTAACCCTAGCTCCAGGCGCAGTGCTCCCGACGTGTCACGTCGCACTGTCGATGCGCTTCTGAGTCTTGTAGAATTGCTGGGTGCGGAAGGAGCACAGCTGACCGGGGTGGTGTGGGGAGAGGCGAGGTCAATGTCCCGGAGGGGCGCAGGGACAACAGTATCGTATAAATAAATGGCATTGCAAGTACAGAACATTTACGATTGAGGATACATCAAATCTTGAATACCAAGGATAATCGACGGCTAGCAATGTGGGTTTATCTGGCGTCATTTCCCGGATTATTTCAAAATTAACCACCTTGCAATTTTGGCCTGCAGAGCGGGAGTCTGGACATAGGGTTCCAGAATCTTCACGACCTCTTGCGTTCCATTGGTCAGCGCGAGGTCTACGGCTGTTCGCCTCTGGTCGTTGGTTTTGTCCGGTACTGCTCCGGACTCACAGAGAAGCTGAACGAAAGCCGTCCCATATACATTGTGCTGCTCGCAGGCAGCGTGGAGAGCCGTGTTTCCTTCGTAGTCTGCGTTATTCGGGTCGGCACCGTGTTCGAGGAAAAAGAGGAGTAGCTCGATACTCGTGGTATGGGGGAGCACATTGCGGCCGGCGATGTCTCGGAAATTGATATCTGCGCCTCCCTCGACTAGTGCCCGCACAATGTCCAAGCGCCCATAGCGAGCCGCCGTAAACAAAGGCCGGCCGAGATCGGGGTCTGCGCCAGAGGCGAGTAAGAGCTGTACCGATGCGAGCTGGTTCCTGCTTGTGGCATGCCAGAGAGCAGAACCGGTGTGCCGAAAATTGACGTCTACTCCCGCAGATATCAAGTACTCAGATATCTTGATATTTCCTGTCTGCAACCGCTTCGATAAGAGCGCTGCCTAGGTAGTCGCGGTGGGAGGATTCTGGGGACGTGTTCGAAGTGGGAGCTAGGAGGTGGACGACTTCAATGTGCCCGTGCCGTGCTGCACAACCCAAGGCCGTCAGACGAGAATTTCTCGTCGTTGGCTTGTACACCATTTCTTCAGCATATATTCCCAACAGTTTGGAGACCCGAATCCCAAAATCGCTGCAATGTGCAGTAGGCTGCTGCCCTCGGATTGGAAATCCAATTCAGTGCCTAGAGTGACTTTGGCAGCGATGAATTTGTCGAGGGTGCTTTCCAACTGGTTTTGAACGGCGAAGAGCACAGCAAGCTTTGAAAGAGCGTCGACACTCGCGCAGAGTTCATACAGGGTCTGATCCACGGTATGGTGTGAGGCGATATTCGTTAGAGAGAGGGAATTAATGGAAGGGAGGGTCGGGGACAAGTTCCGGCTGTTCGGTGACGTACCGCACCAGCCGATGACCTGGGTCGAGGATTGTCTCCCGAGTGAGAAAAGATACAATGTGAAGAATCAGTTCAGGAGGAAGATCTGAAAAGACCGCCATCGCAAGCGGTTACTGCTAGTACAAGCAGGAGTTGATATTGGTGGGGACGTCGATTTTATGGAGTTTTATGGGGACGATTGAAACCTAGCAGAGAAGCAGTTGAACAAATAGAAAGGCCGCCAGTGAAAAGACGACGAGCCTGAGTTGAGTGAGGGCGTGTGAGAGCCGGCCCGGGCAAGATTAGATTTCGGGATGTTCCGCGCAAATAAAAATACGTCCCTTCAGAACGCGTCTTTTGTACTCGAGAACCACCCTCATATCCTCAGTTTTTTCGCCCACCTTGTCTCGTCTAAGTTCGCGTGGTTTCTGTCTCCTGCCTCTTAGACGCGCCCGTACTGGGTCTTCACGCCTTCTCTCCCGTCCGATTCGCAGTACGACGTCGCCCGACTGCTCTGCAACCGCAAAGAGAAATAGACCTCCTGGAAATTGGTGAACGACTGTCGTCATTTCTGTTTTGTCTTCCACCACCTGGCCCTGATACCGCTGCGGAAGACCGCCTTGGACTTTCATGCTCCCCTCATAAGTATATCCTTGTAACGACTCTGGATTTCCGAGTCTCGGAATATATCAGCGCTGACGAAGCTCATTCGAGGTATAAGTACTCGTCGAGCAGCCGTATCAATCCCCCGGACTTGTAAGACACAATGCCCTCCTACGTCGTTACTGGTGCTTCCAGAGGAATCGATGTTCGAGCATCCACCGTTTTCTCATCTTGAACTGACATTTCTCCTTTGTTTAGCTTAAGTTCGTCAAGCAGCTGAGTGCCAACACCGAGAACAAAGTCTTCGCCATAGTTCGCAACAAAGCTGCTGCCACCAGACTGCGTGATTTGTCGCGGGACAAACGTTACAATTCTTGAGGCGGATGTTACTGACGCCAATGCTCTGGAGGTGTGCAGTATCTAGCCTCCCGTCGAGACGCGTGTTAAACCTGAATTCCACATAGCTTGCGACGGCCGAAGTTTCAAAAGGTCTCCGAGAACACCCAGACTATTTGATTAACAACGCTGGTAGCTCCACGTGCTCTGGAGTCACTCTTGACCAATAGTAAGGATTCTCCACAAAACTAGACATTCTCCAACCATTGCACACCAGTCCCGGCCCTGATGCTCTCGAAAAAGATTTGCTGGACAACGTATACCACCCGGGAATCGTGGATACTTCAGCCACTTCTACGTCCGCACGTCAGTCACTTTCTCTTTCCCCCCGATGTCTCATTCAAAATGACCGACAGCCACGGCCGGAGCGCTTGAAGAGTTGAAGATGCTGTCCAAGGCGATCCCCAAGCTGGCGCCGAACTTTAGAGGTCCTATTACGACGGAGGAATCGGTCAGAATGCGGCTAGACGTTCTCAACAGGTGGACGGTCAAAAGAGAACGGGGGCATTCGTTTTTCATTCAGGAAATAAGCAATGGTTGTAGAAGGTAAGCTATTTATTCGTTGACTTGAAAACACGAAATTTACGCGGATTTGAGGATGCAGTAAACACAGTTTTCTTTTCCTCGTTCGACGATTTTGGGGAGACGGGCGAATCTCGCCGCTCCTCATTGGCAACCGTTTACAAGAGCGGACGGCCTATTTGAAAGTTTGAGTCGCGGTCCGGCCCATTGCCTATCGGCGATAAAATCTCTTTCACACACTGCGCCTTCTTCGCGCGCTCTGTTCTATTTTGCATCAAGGAACTATCATATAGATGGTGACGTGTGGAAATACTGCGGGGTGCG